ATTCTATTTTTCCACAAACTTTATGAAGCCCCTTCACATAGTCCACTATTTGCACAACATCGAAATCTCTTATGTCTTATTGTTAAGTAATTATAAACTTAAGGTGATAAACTGTTAAAATTTACTCATTAATGAAACAAGTCCAGGCCTGCTTAGACTAGGGATATAAAGAGGATATTCAAAGACTAGAAGGAGTGGCAAAAAGAAAAATGTGAAGACTTCTCAATTTTGAATTGATTCTTGCTTCTCTCTATTCTCCTCAAACGGGGGTGATGGAAGCCACCACGACAGACCTGGGACTCAATTTCAAAATCTATAAATGTCAGTGTTTTTAAGGGCTGTATCTCTTCTGTCTTAAGTCTCATAACCAGTGATCTCCTTATACTGGCTATACAGATCCCCTTGCAATATGTGCAAAGTTTATTAAATTAATTACCAGAAGTGTAGATGAGGGCTTTTATTATAAACCATATATATTTTTTTTAAATTAAAAGATCATTATATTGGCGACTCTTATAACTCCTAAAACAATCCATATATCAATTGTATCAAGCATATTTGTACATATGTTGCCATCATTATTTTCTAGACATTTACTTTCTATTGAGCCCTTAGTATCAGCTCCTTTTTCCCCCTCCTTCTCCCCTCATCCTCGTGACCCCTTGATAAATTATAAACTACTATTATTTTCATATCTTACACTGACCACTGTCTGCCTTCCCCCATGGCTTCTGTTGTTCGTCCCCCTGGAGGGGGGTGGTGTGGTTATGTGTAGATCATTGTGTTCTGCTCCCCCTTCCTTCTCTTTTCTCCCCACCTTCCCCCTACCCTTCTGGTATCATTACTCCCATTCCTGTACCTGGATTCTGTGTGTCATGAGCTCTTATCTCTTATCAGTTCCTATGCACATGCTCCAGTTTAGCCCACAGTGAAAGGCAGTACTGGGGTCATGATAGTAGGGGGTGAGGAAGCCTCAAGGAACTAGAGGAATAGAATGTGTTTCATCGGTGCTTTACTGCGCTCTGGTTGACTCATCCCTTCCTTGTCACCCTTCTGTGAGGGGACTCCTATTGTTCACAGATGGATGTGAGGTCTCTGTTCCAACCTCCCTCATTCTCAAATACGTTTTTTGTTCATTTGTTTGTCTGTCTGTCTGTTTGTTTGTTTTGGTCTTCTGGTATCTGTTACCCGGTCCCAACAATGCCTCATGATCACACAGGCTGGTGTGCTTTTTCTATGTGAGTTTGTTGCTTCTCTGCTAGATGGCCACTTGTTTAATTTCTAGCCTTTAAGACCCCATACACTGTATCTTTTGACAGCTGGGCACCATTTGTTATCTTCACCACATTTGCTTATGCACCCATTTTTTCATCAACGATTGTGCCAGGAGGGTGAGTATTACAGAATGCCAGTTTGTTAGAAGAAAGTGTTCTTGCATTGAGGGAGGGTAGGAGTAGAGTCCCAAAGTCCATCCACTATCTCAGTGTATTGCCATATAAATATATGTACCTAAGCCAATACCTCTATTTTTATGAATTAATAGAGGTATTTACATATGGACACCCCTATGCTTATACCTCTGTCCATAGCTTTGCCTCCTAGATCATTCCTCTGTTTCTTTTTACCTTCCTCCAGCTCCACCATCATGTTCTGCCTACATCTGCCTTTAACACTTGGGGATCTGAATTCAGAGGTCTCATTCTTAAAAATATACCCATCTCACTACCTCTACTCTCTTCTGTCTGCTTTGTCAGGTGATTCGATATTTTGAAGATTACTCCTAAAATAAATGTTTCTTGGGAAAGTTTTCCTTGGCTTAATGAGTGTGTGAGAAAGAAATATATATATATATTGCCTTTAAAATCATTTTAGTGTCACATAATTCACATATCATACATTTCAATAGTTCAGTCATATTACAAAGAGTTGTGTAATCATCACCACAATCAATTTAAAGACATTTCTTCTTCTTTGTTCTCACTGTTGTTAGCTTCTAGTTTCCATCCAACTTCCCTGGTCATGACCCTAAGAATCTCTTAATCCAGTTGCTGTCTCATTGCCTTTTGCCTGTACATTGATTTAAAGCAAAAGTTCCTCGAAAGGGTGGCATGCTATCAGATTTATGTTCTATATGGGAAGTACAAAGCTGAGTAGAAATTGAAAACTGGTACTGAGCACAAAAAGCTAAGTCCATAGCCTTGAATCAATATTAAAAGCTGGATTTCATTTAAAAATATATGGTATTTAACTGAGCCTCATGATTTGTCCCATCCTTTGTTTGTCAGTTTGTTGTTATGTGGTGGCTTGTATGTGGCTGTGATGCTGGAAACTCGTCGGTATTTCACATGCCAGCAGGGTCACCCAACATGAACAGGTTTCAGTGGAGCTTCCAGACTAAGAACAGATTATGAAGAAGGAATAAACTGTACACTTCTGAGGAATTAGCCAGGAAACTCTTATGGACTGAAAGATGTTTACTTGTATTTTATTGATTATGCTAAGGCATTGACTTTGTGGACCTTAACAAACTATGGATAGCCTTGAGAAGAATGGGAATCCCAGAATGCTTCATTGTGCTTATGAGGAACCTATAGAGAGACCAACAGGAGGTAGTGCAAACAGAGCAAGCACATACTCCATGGTTTAAAGTCAGAAGGTATGTGTCAGTGTTGCATCTTCTCACCATATTTATTCTAACTGTGTGGTGAGCAAATAATCAGAGAAGCTGGGTTATTTGAAGAAAAATGTGGCATCAGTATCAGAGGAAAGCTTATTAACCTACTGTATGCAAATGACACAACCTTGCATGCTGAAAGTGAGGAAGACTTGAAGCACTTGCTGATGAAGAACAAAGATTGCAGCCTACAGTCTGGATTACAACTCAATGTAAAGAAAACAAAAAATCCTCGCAACTGGCATACAGGTAACATCATGAGAAATGGAGAAAAGATTAAAGTTATCAAGGTTTTTGTCTTGCTTGGGTCCACAATCAAGGTTCATGGAAGCAACAGTCATGAGATCAAATGGTGCACTGCATTGGGTAAATTTGCTGCACAAGACCTATTTAAAGTGTTGAAAAGCAAGGATGTTATTTTGATGATTAGGTGTGCCTGACCCAAGCCATGGTATTTTCAATTGTCCCATATGCATGTGAAAGTTGGACATTGAATAAAGAAGACCAAAGAAGAATTATGCATTTGAATTTTGTTGCTGGCAAAAAATTATTGGAAGTACTTTGGACTTCCAAAATAATACAAAAATCAGTCTTGGAAGAGATGAAACCCTTAGAGACAAGGATGACTTACATACTTTGGACATATTGTCAGGAGAGACCAGTCCCTGGAGAACCGTCCCATGCTGCAAAGGAGTGGGGCAGCAAAACAGAGGGAAGGATCTTATCAAGATGGGTTGACACAGTGGCTGCAACAATGGGCTCAACCACAAGAAAACCTGGATTGTGCAGGACCATGCAGTGTTTCCTTCTGTTGCACATAGTGTCACTCTGAGTCACAACCAACTCAATGGCATCTAACACCAGCAACAACACACTTTTATATCGTGTGTGTACTTGATTCCTAAAATGGAGTGTGTATCTTGTATTGTACTTACATCACTAAGTAATATATAAACTTCTTGAAGTTAAGGCAACAACTTTTGGAGGGTAAGCTTCACACAAAATGGAGCCTCACATAGGGCCTATCCCTAAAATTTAGATTTATTACCTATTGTTGTATCAGCCAAAGAAATAATCCATGTGAAGTAGATTATTCCATAAAATGTAGGACAGAAATATAATTCTTACTGTATAAATCTCTGAACTAGCTATATAAATATTTTTGAATGTTTGTTTGCTTTTTTATACTACTACAGACTGGCTGTCATTGAGCCCATTCCAACTCATAGTTACCCCCAAAGACTGAGTGAAATAGCCCCTGTGGGTTCCTTGATGGGAGTACAAAGCTGCATCTCTCTCCTGGCTTCCACCTGTTGCCCTTGCACCCCAGCATTAGCCACTCTGTCACTAGGGCTCCTAATAGGTTGGGTTTTTTTTTTTCCTATTTACACTAAACCTTCCCTGGGCTTTCTTCTTTTTCTTTTTTCCCCCTTCACTCACTCATGTGTTCAGAAAAAGAAAATGGAAAGCGTGAAATTAAAGCAAATAAGCCAATGTTGAATTAATGTTGTTATTGTTGTGTGATGCCATTGGGTCCGTTCCAGCTCATAGCGTCCTTACACACAACAGAACGAAACACCACCACTGCCCCATCTCACAATTATTCTTATGCTTGCACGCATTGTTGCAGCTACTGTGTCAACCAACTTGTCCGGGGCCTTCCTCCTCTTCCCTGCCCCTCTGCTGTACCAAGCACGATGTCTTTTTCCAACATGTCCAAAGTATTAAGACGAAGTCTCACCATCGTTGCCTCTAAGGGGCACTCAGGCCATACTTCTTCCAAGAAAAGGCTTGTTGAATTAATATCCTTCCTTAAATGTGTTTTCAATGTATGCAATTTTAGGAAATTACCTGAAATCAATAATGTAATATGTTGATGGTGACACAAAACACATTTTATAAAAAATAACTCAGTGGCAAATGCAAGAGTGTATATATCAAGTGATATTGAAACCAGCATTCTCAACTGTTATATTGGATTACAGGTCCGATGTTTGGCAAAGAACCAAGCTCTTTCTTTATTATGAAAGACACCTCCGCAGTGAATCTTAGTATCAGATACATGCAAACTTAAAATAATGGAGAAGCATGGACTTTAAATAAGGTTTTTCAATGGGCAGTAGAGCTCCAATCTCTATACCTCTGCGTCAGGATGGCCCGTGCCAGCATTCTCTTCTGTTTGGACAGCCACATTACAAAGCATAGCCATCAAAACACCCAGAGTCATCCCCCTTTCTGATTTTCATAGTGGGTGCTGGTTACCACGGCTATTTCATAAGTCATCATTTTAATCTCTTATCTTTAACCCCCCTTAACTCTCCTTTAGCTCTGCCAACATTCCAGGATATACTGGCCAGGTCCATTTCACAAGCATCCACCCAGCAAATTCCAATATTTCACCAACAACACCATCACCAGACTCAGAAGTGCATCGGTACGTATCCTGTTACTCAGTTTTCTCAGCAGCATTCGAGAGATAACCTAATTATTATTATTCTATTAAATAACAATCGAATACTAGGAATAAATTTAAATTACTTTCAAATGGAGTATCGAGTGCAAAAGAGAGAGGAGTTTCTTATCCTACATAGAGTAAGTTTCGTAGGCCTTTACTAGCCTCCAATCAAACTGAAATGAAGTAAAATGTAAATTAATGTTAACATTGATCTTGCAGAACAAAACATATTCAGATATTGTAGGCATCGTAGATGAAGATCTTTGCCTTTGGATTCATAGATTTGCAAACGGCTATCATTTGGCATTATCAAAAGATGTATGTATGTTAGTTAGATGTAGGAGACATTTTTTACATGAAACGCACAGTTACAACTTAGGGTTAACCATCTTACCTTTTCTAAAAGGCAAACTTCTATTGAATGTCACATATTTTTTAGGAGGAATTTTTTAAATTCGAAAATAGAGATTAAATGGGAGCCTGATGAAGTTTCCTCTATTTGAAGCTGATAGTGAGGAAAAATCAAATTTGGAAATATTTGGTCAAAGTCTTGACCTTATAAATAATTGACAGTTTTAAAAATGTAAATTCAGTCAAGCGAGTCTAGCTGTGGTCTTTGTCCAAATAAACAAACTGCCTAATAGGATGAAGTTTGTGTGTGTGTGTGTGTTGTGAGGGTAGGGAGGGGCCAAGATGCTTTTTCTCTTAGATCATATTATTTTGATAGACCGTGTATTCATTCATGTATCAAACGTTTACTGAGCATCCTGTCTGGCCCAGCCACTGTTGGAAGCACAGAGGTACAGTGCTTAACAAGGCAGGGAAGATCCCACTCTCCTGAACTTACCTTTCAGTCTGAGAGATAAACAATGAAGAAGAAGTAAACATATAAGTATAGGGGAATAATTTTGGATAGTAATATATGCTACGTAAAAGTAAAGACAAGGTGGGAAAAGTGATAAAGTAGCAAGTGCCTAGCAAGGGTCATGCTATGGAGGTGATGAAGCCTAAGCTCCCACTTTCACCCACTTGAAAAATGATCCCAAGACTCTCCTGTGTACTGGGCCCTCAAGAGCTTTGGTAAAAGGACTCTTGTGCTCACCTAACTGCTTATTCTTTCACCCTCTCATGCATTTTTAATGTTCTCTAGTAGTTCACGAGAACTGGCTCCTGATTTCAAGCCTACTGGAAATAAATCATCCATAACTACATTACAGGGGAAAGGGCACTGGTGGTGTGATGGGTTGTACGTTGGACTGCTAAATGCAAGGCTAGTATTTGAAACTACCAGGTGCTCTGGGAGAAAGATGAAGCTACTACTCCCCAAAGCATTTAAAGTCCCAGAAATCCAAAGGGGCAACATGGGAAGTTACACTTTGTCTCAGGGTTGGTACAAATCTGAATTGACTCAATGGCATTGAGTCACCTTACATTGACCAACTCATTTCTATACCCAGGCACTCTGCTTAGTACTTTGTATGTAATGCTTCCTTTAATTGTCCCAGTAGCCCGAGAAAGAGATACTGTTAATATCTACATTTTACAGATAATGAAATTAAGGCACACACAAGTTACAGGGGAAATATGATCTGCAAGGGGCCACTAAACAAGACCTCACAGGGCGAGTGATTCGTGGATTGTTGCTGGGAGCAGTTTCAAAGGTACCTAAGGGCCACCTGCATATAGGCTTGTGTTGTCATGCCTCAGGGAGCCCTTAGCACGTAGATAAAACTCATGATGTGATATGGAATCATAGGGTGGCAGCTCTTCAGAGTCACTGTTAGCTTCTTGTATGCCACTGTGATGTTGTTATTGTTAGGTGCTATTGAATCAGTTCCAACTCACAGCAACCCTGGTATAACAGGTTGTCACACTCAAAACTGTTCGTTTGAGCCCATTATGGAAGCCACTGTTCAATCCATTTCATTGAGGGTCTTCCTCATTTTCATCACTGCTCACAGAGAATCCTAAATGCCTGCACATTCCCTGAATGTCACCCTCAGTTTGAAGGGGAATGCTGAACTAATTCAGGAAAGATATGTGCCTGAAGACAAAGGACTTCATGGTTGTACCTAAAATTTTGGTTTTATGATTGACTAGAGTCGTTAGACCAATTACCACGAACAATTTTAAAAGGAGATCCTTGATTTTCTAGGCTAATATTTTGCACTAAATTATGTTTCTCTAAAGAGAAATATCATCAGTCCATTTGCAATGCAGGACTGGCAGAAATGTAGACAATTACTAACATTTTATTTCACGAGAAGGACAAAGAAAGAATGCTAAAAATTAAATGCATCATATATCTATACTTATAGTTAGATTTTCTATCCTCCAGAAAAAAATTAAAATGAAAATTCTGTATCTAGATGGTTGATAATATATGGGGGATGCAACTCAAAGATGTCGCATCAGGGAACATTTCAAACACCTCTCATTCCTGGCCTTTTTGCTTCACAATCCATCTTCTCCCCATAAGTAACACAGGTCCCATCCTCAAGATTGTGTGCTTTATCATGTCTTTCTACAATCATACTCCATCTGCCCTTTGTATGGTAAAATCTTTCAGGACATAGTTATTTCTAATTTTGAAATTGCCAACAAATGCTACTACTAGAGAAAAGAACTTGTATCTTTCAGCAAGAAACTCATTTTCAGACTTAAGCGTATTCCAAAGTCCCAGGTGGCCTGCACATTCATTTCACATCTGGTGTACATATATCTGTCACCCAACTTCCTGGAGCAGGGCCAGGATTAATGACCTCTGAGGTGGCTGCTTTGAGATTCTTCGCAATGTGCACATGAGGCCCCAAAGAGACACAGCCTTCAGCAGCCCCAGTATTCCATCCATCACTGAGGGAGAACTGTTGTCAGTAAGGGTTCCAGATCTCCTCTGACCACAGCAATAGACACCAAAGTCTAGATAGTCTAAGGTGAAAATTCACAGAGATGCTGAAGAGGGTGGATGTAAAATTTAAGAACAAATCCCTCTGCCCCCACATTTAGCCTGGTCCCCTTGATCCTATATTTAGAGAACATTTGCATCGTTCAGGCTTCCATTTGCTTCATCATCAGGTCTCATCTCTGAATTTTTGTGGTACTATACTAACTCTTTTTTCACTAGAACAATTTCCAGTGAAAGTGTGAGCCTAAGTATCTCTCTGATGAGTAGCATGAGAACTACATGAACTAACTTCCTCCTGATGGTCTGTATGTGATATGATGCACCTTTTCCTGTTATTTTCTCTGTAAGAAGCTCTCTGGGCTCGGGCATGCCCTGGAAATGCCTAAATATCAACCTCAACTATGCCTCAACGCTTCTTGGCAATTCACTCCGTTCCTTTTAAGAACCTATGCCATTCATCACAGTGGCTGTCTTTCAGAGCTTTCTCTACCTTGTGAATTTCAGACCCCATCCCTTTTCCCAGGCCACTCTCAACAGAAGGTCTCGCACTCTTCCTCACATCAGAATATCCACTACTGTCAATCTTGGTTTCTTTCTTCCAGGCAAATCTGCTCCTTCTTTAGCCTGCCAATTCCTGCTTGCTATGAGTGCTTGCTCCGCTGCTTGAGAAACCCCTCAAGTCACCCAACTGTACATACTAAGTGTGTTCCCCACTGATCACCGCCCCGCTTCGCTCCTCTTTTTTCCTTTCACTTCTGAACTTCTTTAAAAAGCAACCAACCGCTCTCCTTTCGCTCACTGCCTCCACTTCCTCTCTGCCCACTCTCTCCTCTCAGTTTGCAATATGAATTCTGCTACCACCAGTCAGAGAACATGCTCCCACTTGCCGAGCCGCAGGAAAGAAAAGGCCACGATCCCTCCTGGCAGAGATGCCACATTCACAGTGGAGTTCTCTGGCTAGGCAGGCTGCAAAGATGAGAGACTCGGAGTTCAATTGTTTAGACCTACAATGCCAGCCCAAAACCTGGAAGCCACAGATGCCAATATTATACACTTTGAGCCGAGATTGGGATCACAGCTTAATATCAGGTACAGAAAAATATCGTGGGAAAATATCGTAGGAGAAGATTTGAACTGACGAGCTAGAGAAGCACGAGAAATGGATAAGGAAGGGTTCGTGGCTTTCTAGATTCAGGAAGAAACATATGCTAGAAGTGCATTTCTTGCAACTCCTACTTCCACCAAAGCCGTGTTTTGTGCACATCTCCTCACACTAGAATGTAACCTTTTCTACTTCAGCTTTCAGGTTAGTCAAACTTTACTCCAGTGTCATAAAAAAGAGAAGAGTGATTACAATCATCACAGCATAAAAACAAAGCAATTTTAGATTCAGTTGCTGTCTACACATTATTTCATATAGGAGCTTCATAACTTGCTGCCAATTATGAGCACAATGTGCTTTCAATTTCTGGTGAATTTGCTGAGAGCTTATTGCATTAGTCGGCTTGTGGGATGCCTCACAAAAGTTGATATAATGCATCTCAGAGCTGAAACTGCCAGTAGCGAACAGGTGTGAGGGATTTAGGGATTTGGCAGCAAAGGTAAGGAACTATCATTTTCATAGTGTTAGATGTTGTCGTAGTTATTTTCTTTTTTAATCCTCACAGCAAATTGAGTAGAACGCACTTACTCCCATTCAACAGATGAGTAAAATAACTTGATGGATGAGTGAGAGGTTAAACATTGTGTTAGAGTAGTTTACATGTTGGTGTTAGTATGTGCTGTTAAGTCAGTTCTACCTCACAGCAAGCCTGTGCATACCAAGATTAAATACTGCACATAGTTTACATACAGTCCATTAAAACTCGTTGAGTCACCTCCAACTCACGGCAATCTCTTGTGCAGAATATAACTGTCCTCCACAGGAGTATCATGGCTGACTCTTCCGTGTGCTCTAGGACTCAAACCTTCACCCCTTCAGTTATCTGTGAAATCTGTTCACCCTGGTTGCTTTTAGTATGTATTCACACTAATTAACCACCGTACAGCTCCCCCTCTAGAAGGTCTCAGTCTGCCCGCCCTGACTCCTCTCTCAACCTCTTTCCCTAAATGCTTCATGTCCTCTTTCACCCCACCACCACGGCCTATGCCACCCCTCTATTTCCAGAACGTGTCGAATTCCCACTTGACTGATGGCCTGCCCCGGTAAAGAGAGGTGAATACCTCCTCCATGCTGCTTTGGTGCCCTGGGTCCACCCGTTTCAGAGACTTGACATGGGAAATGATGTCTGCCTCCTTATAGGCTCGCTTCCTTTGAGCTGTATTTTTTATATTCTCAGCACCAAATATAACTATAGGCATTGTAATAGATTTTCAATTAATGCAACTGTGTATAATAAGACCAGGAAGTACATACAAGGATTATGATTTCCAGCCTTCCCCTCTGCTGTGTTTACTCTCTCTTGTTTATGTTTACCATCATTAGCAAGATACACCTAGTTGTTATGCGTTTTTATGTTTAATTTGAGAGTTATATTTTTGTTTCATGTTTTTCTTCTGCTCCTTCTAGCATCTTTTGGAAAGACATGAAAATGGATGTCTTCCGTCACCAGGGACCTCTGTCTCGAATGGTCACAACTGTGAAACCCTACAACCCCTTCAATAGGAAGGTAAAAGAAACTGTAGACTACTAAAAGAGGCCAGCCTGCTGAGACACCTCAGTACTGGAAGTCTTGCCTACAGCATGATGGGAAATAAAAAGTATATGGCCTGACCCCAGCGTTCTAATGTGGATGGAGCCTCAATCAGTACTCTTCTTGCCTTAGGCAGAGCTCTCAGATCTGACCCTGGGTCATTCTCTTGGCTTGTCATCGGTTTTCTGGCTATGTTTACAATACCAGCATTCCCAGATGGCAGCTGAGTCTTGCCTAAGCCATCAGCCACAGGAGTTTTAGTTTAGAAAATTTTTCGTGTAGGATTGGAATGTCTAGGGGTTTCATGTCCTCACCAAATGAATGCAGGAATGATAGCAGTTGGACACAGATCATAGAATGGTAAAACTGAAGGGCACTACAGAGATTATCTAGTTAAAACCCACAGTTTCTTAATGAGAAAACACCGTGGCTGAGAGAGAAAATGACAGGCTCTCTCTGAGAGTTGCCTTCTGTTTCTCAAAGAGAACAAACATCACATAGGGTTTGACATTGACGATGAAGAGTGGAGAAAATGCTCATTGTCCTAACTAGTATTGTTTTCAGAGGGAGCATTATTCCTCTGTTTTATGAATTCCTGACACAGTAGGAAATCCTACCTCTGGTCACGTTAAAGTTAAAGGATGGCATGATTTGGTCAGTACCCAAAAGCACCAGTTCACAGCGCCACTCAGTGTTAAGTCAATTAGGGGAAATCCCTGCTGCCTCCCTAAATATATCTATATCTGTATACACATCAATAAGTATGCACATGAAGAATATTTATAGCTGCATGCTTGCATTTGTAGAGCCTGTTGGAGTTTACATAGTGCTTTTGTCAATCTTCACTCATTTATTTCTGCAACCGTATTATTAATTCTTATAGCGGGCATTTTACAAATATTTTGCTATTTATGAAGTGAAGTGTTTTCTGAGGGTCACAGAACTAATAAGTACTAGAATTAACAATAGAGCATAGGTTCTCTGAGTTTGGATATAGTACTTCGCTCAACTCATTATTCCAAAGACTGAATAATCTTCAGTAGGAGAGTGAAAAATAAACAAAACAAATAGAAATCAAATAAAGCTCCCCATGATTCTAGATCATTTGGCAGCATTTCTCAGCATTTCTTTATGCCTTCTTCTCTGTACAATTCAAAATTAGATAGTATCCCACAGAGTTTCAAACCACAATATTATGAGATATTTGTCCCCACTTAATTCACAGAAGTGGCTGGGTGAGCTGAACAATTAACACACTGGCCTGATAACCAACATATTGGAGGTTCAAATCTACCTAGAGGAACTTTAAAAAAAAGACCTGGTCATCAATTTCTGAAATGTCAACCATTAAAACTCAATGAAGTATAGTTCTACTTTGACACACAAGATATCTAAACGAGTGGGAGCCAACTTGATGGCCTAACTGATATTTTATCTCACAATAAAGGAAAAAAAAGAACTCTTTGGATTTGAAATCCTGTATTGCTTTCTTTAACAAAAGTTACATTTTGAAACTGCATCTCAAGAACATCTTTGTGTGCTGTTACTTGGACCTGCCCTGGGCTGTGACAAACAGGAAGACAAGCAGCCATCCTCCTGAGCACCTACCTGATCTTCAAGACAAAGGATGACTTCATCTGAGTCTGATCTTGTCTAACTATACTCACAAAGAGGAATTCTATAAAAATCCAACCAAAAATAAAAACCTAAAAGTCTCAGGAAGACTTTTACCAAAACATGAATGGAAAACATCAACCCTGTCCTGAAGGTAAAGTCATTTAGTTCTCTGAGACTGCATCTTTTGTTGAGCACCTGTGGCAGGCCATGGTGTCAGTCGGTGCTGCCTTTCAAACTCAGACCTTCTCTTTCTGCTGAGTCCTTCTATGGGGTAGCACTTGCTTTGGACAGTCTGCAGGCTAAGATGTGTTAACATGTTCTGCAGTGCAGACATCTGGGTTCCAAACCGAACATGAACACCTCTAATACTGCTTCTGAAGGCAATGTTGTCTTTTCCTAGAGCCTCCTTGAGTCATATCCAGAATAACAAAGGGACCCTCTATCTGTCCTAAGTCTATGTTAGAGTGCTCAATTTTAAAGATAAAATTAAAACTCTGCTTACAACATAGCTATCCACTATAGTTAGTAAAATCTATAGAGATGATAGAAATTCCAGTACTTTTTTCAGTGTCCTTTCATACGTGTGTTTAAATTGCATTATTTGAACTTCCATGACCCAAAACCCAATGAGAAGATTCAATAATCAAAGAAGATATTATCAGGGATACTTTTCTTAAAATTTTGAATTTTTGATATACCAGATATCATCATTCCTGCACCTTTCAGGTTATCCATTTACCCCTCACTATAGCCCCAGAGAAAATCTTCCTTATAATATAATCTGTTTTTATTTATCCACAGTGATTATTCAAATATTGATGCTCCAAATGACCTCTGTATTGTTTAACTGAAGTTGATGTGTGAGATATTACTAGAAATTAAATGTGAGTTCTTAGCAGATAAGGATATTACAATTAAATATTACAAACCTATTACAAAGCTATAACAATATAAAGATTCAATATTCATAATAGCACAATGTAAAGTACAGAAATGAACAAATAAAGAACTTATCCTGAATCAATTAATACAGGAAATATTTTTGCAATAGATGATAAGGAAACAACCATTTGGAAATAAGGAAAAAAGGTAAATTGATTTTTGAAAACAGATACAAATGGATAGTTTAAAGGCTTTAGGAAGATCACCGAAAGAATCTGGTGGACATCGAGTAAGCTCTTGGCTACTGACCCAAAGTTAGCTATTCAAATACATCACTGCTCATCAGGAAAAAGATCTGTCCGTCTTCTGTACAGATTTACAGTGTTGGAAACCCTATGGGAGTTACACTCTGTCCTATCAGATCAAACTAACTGCGTTGCGTTTGTTTCTTTGCTTGTTCTACTTTATACAGATTGTGATAGTTGCATAATTTCATGTCAGCTTGATAAACAAGTGTAGGGGTGGAGTCTAGCCTATCAATCAGGTCAAAGCCTGATGATGCCTCCTTGTGGGTGTGGCCTTCTCATGAGGATTCTGAGAACTTCCTTTGTCTCTCCATCTCCCTGTGACAAGCCACATGGAGACTTGCTGAGATCTGTGAGAGCTTCTCTGTTTCACCTTCCTGTTAAAGGACTGCACTTGGAGAGCTGGATGAGCCACGTGGAGACTTGCAACAATACAAAGATGCTTCCACTACCACTGGATCCATAAGACTCTTGACACAGCAGCCTGTAATCTTACTGCATTTTACATTATTGCATGTCGCTGTGTAAGTCTGAAAAGGGATTTTGGGACTTGTATCAGCTTTATGGACTAATATTGGACTTCTGGACTTGGCTGGGATGTTTTCTCAATACAGTGAACCCTCGCCACTTCGCGCTTCGACTTCCGCGGCTTCACTCTATCGTGGTTTTTGCGTAACAGCGCATGCTCTGTCATTACTGCCACTGATTGGCTCATACTGTACACGCTTCTGTCTGCATCGCTACATATCAGAGCTACGTATC